GATACATATATATATGGTTAAATTATAGCACAAAATAAAGGTTGTTATATATATAGAATATTCACACCTGAGATATATCGCATAATAAGGAAAACACATGCACTTAAAAAATAATATATGCACACCGTATCGATAAAAAATGTAGGACCGATATTGGATTTGTGAGCAATATCTGCACACATTCACAGAACGTTAGAGTAAGTATATAATTAAATATACATGATATACATTGTTAACACACATATAAAAGTTATGATATATATATATATATATATATATATATATATATATATATATATATATATATATATATACAAAAATATGTTATAATATGATAGTTGCATGAAATCAAATAAAATAACTATTAAAAAAATAAATCACAGTCACTGTTATGTACAATTTTTTCGTTTGCGGAAGAGTAGAACTGTATTAGTTTAGGGTAAATGAAATGGATGAGGGATATATATAGTTATCAGTCATCCCACATAAAATGCAAGATCCAGAGCGTGGAACGACTTTGATTGATTTCCTACACGAGATCCACATACATGGATCAAAATTATGATCAAAATACGCGTTGCAAAGATAACATTGTTTGGACTGAGCGCAAACAATTTTTTTTGGTCTTCATAAAGTACGAACGACTTTATTTAATAAACTGCATGAAAACAATTAAAAAAGTATGTTAAAATTAAAACTCAAAAGAAAGAAATACAAATAGTACTAATATGTATATATAAAAATAATTATGAATATAAAACTATGCATAGATACTTATAATAATCTATAAGAAATGATAAAAAAATGTAATATGAAACTGTAGAATACGAACATTGTGCATTTTGTAATCGAATGGTGGTAGATAAAAATGAAATGAACATTGAGGGGTTTATATAGTATTGAAAATGAACTTAATTCTATGGATAAATTAAAAATTCAAAAAAATTATATATTAGTAAATGAAATCAAATCAAACAAATAAAGGAAACAACCTAAAAAATAAAATAATAACTTGTGGAAAAAAATCTTGCAATATAAAATCATTAAATATGAAGATACGATTTTTTTTTTTTACCATTGAATTTTGAATTAAAGTGTAAATTAATGATATGAAGGAATCTTGGAATATTAAAGATTCCTTTGTATTGGTGATTTGATATTTTATTTGAAATAGTAATTGACAAATATAATGCATAATTAAGTATATAATTCGAAACATATTATAAAATTAAATAGTGTATTTGAAATATACTGACAAACTACTACATTTAGATTGTTAACATATATTGCATTTAAATTGTTAAAATATACTGTATTTAAATTGTTAAATATTAAAATTTCAATATATTGCATATTTATTAAATAATTGGGTGATGACGATTGACGAGGCATTATGTGTATCCACGAAAGAATACGGATTAGATTCCTATACCATATGGCATTAATACAATACAAATATTATCTTCTTCTTCTACCATATAATAATAATAATAATAATAATAATAATAATAATAATAATAATAATAATAATAATAATAATAATAATAATAATAATAATAATAATAATAATAATAATAATAATAATAATAATAATAATAATAATAATAATAATAATAATAATAATAATAATAATAATAATAATAATAATAATAATAATAATAATAATAATAATAATAATAATAATAATAATAATAATAATAATAATAATAATATGGTATAATAAAAATAATATACAAAAAATAGTGTATATGCATTAAATAGTTCTATTAAAAAATAAAACATTTTTTATTATTATTTTCGATGGAGTGGGTATTCGAATATCCAAAATATTGAAAATTAAAAAAAAAACAACAACAACAACATATTCCTTTATTTTAATATTTTAGTATTTAAAAAAATATTTTTTTTATGAAAATTATTTGAATATTCGTAAAAAAATTGAGTTTCATGAATTTTTTTCAATAAATATATTTTGATATACTGAAAATATAAATAAGATTTTTTTATTTCGATTTATAAAATATTAACTTTGGAAATAATATATATACATGTGGTAATTATTAAATGATTGTGTAAATGTAAAATAGGAAAAAACTTAACAACATCCCTAAATAAAAATGCCACCTAATCAATTGAAGAATCCACCTCATCAATTGAACTCCAACTAAGCAATTTTGACAAATGACATCATCATTTGCCACATGTCAATCATTGAGGGCATAAATCCTCTTTTTTATATTATATATAGATTATGACACCCCTTGAGGTAAGGTCACATTACGAAATGACCCTCATATTTGGGTAATTACAACCACCTCCTTCAACTATAGATCTTTTTACACGTTCATCCGTATGGTGTTAAATTCAACAACATTTTCTACATTCCCTGAAATGTTCTCCAGTTTATACTTGTTTTGTGCATAAATGCAATTTCGTAAGTACCATAATCTGATATTTACAAGCCAAGAGATACATCTTATGGTCAGTTTGTTTTAAAATGTTGAGCTTGAATAGGATAAAACGAGTACAAACTGAAAAATATTTCATATAATCTAGAAGATTCCACTAAACTTAACATAAGGATGACCTTATAAGAAAATTCATAATTGATAGACGATTGGTAATTACCCAAAACAAGGGGGGTTTTCGTAATTTTGATCCTACTTTAGGGGCGGTGGCCGTAATTTACCAATTTTTTTTTTAAATATGGTTGAAACAACGATTTTCAAGCCAGATGACGCGCTTAATATAGTCCATAGTAGTAGCCCCACACGTTTTCGTGGGCCCACCACCACAGTCGTCATCCTTTCTTCCTTCTTCTTCATCCAAACTTTCTCTCTCTATCTCTCTCTCTCCTCCAATTCTGCTACCAGAAATCACGGCGGAAACACAGAGGCGCAAACTAGCAAAACCCTAATCAACCCCCGCTTCTGATAACCTCGTCTTAAAACCCAATAAACCCTTGTAGTAAAAAGACACTCGCTAGCTTCGGACACTACTGAATATAACCCGTATAAAAAAGATCTAATTTTTCCGTTTCCTTTTGTACCTACTCTCTCTCTCTCCTCTCTTTCTCTCTCCTCAATTCTCATCCTCTTTCCCCCACACTTTGAAACAAAACAAACCCATATTTCCCATCAGATAACATCCACCTCAAACACACACACACACACATGTGTATGTGTGTGTATATATAGAGTCGTTTACTGGTAACAATTGGGCTGGTGCAATTAATTGTTTTTTGGTAGGACCGCCGCATGTTGGTTTTTTTGTCCCCTCTAGAAATTAAAACCCTTTTGCTTCTTCTTCTTCTTCCTCTCTTATCCTGGCCCCCTTGATTTTCTCTCTCTTCATCTTCTTAATTAATTATATTTTCTATTTTTTTAATTTTTTTTTGGGGAAAAAAAAAATAAATGTCGCAGAAGCGGCAACAACCGGAGGAGGGCACCTCTTTCGACGAGCGCCGCCCCAGAAAATCGCCGTCTTTCAGAAGGTCGAATTTCGTTAATTTTTTTAAGTTTCTTGATATTTAATTTTTGTCAGAGAATATTCATTTGCCATTTTATTTGAACAATTTTTAGCTTTTTTTTAAGAAACTTATAAGCTATTAAATTTTTGCTGTAATCTTGTACAGTGTGGTGAGGGATGTAATTAACCTCTGCAAATTACAAAATCTCATCGAGCCCGTTTTGGAGCCTCTCATTCGTCGAGTTGTAAGTTCGTCTTGTATACGACATTTTTTTTAAAATAGCTTCTATTTGAGTAATCAATTTGGAATGAGGTAACTCGATTAGGAATAAATATAATCGGGTTTTTTTTTTGTGTTCTTGACCGTACTTAATACTTTTATCAACGAAACTCGTGCATGATAATTATAATGAAGAATTATGCTGCGCATCGTATTATAGTGAAGAGAAGTAAGTGGCATTTAGTTGCTACTCGTAAAATCTACTTCGATAAAAGCTCTGATGAAAATCATGAATCGATCTTTTCACGGAGCTTGTAAATGTATCGATTTATCGAACAATCTATTTATGATAATGTTTTCTTATTTTCGTTACTAAATTACTTTACCGTATTAATTGTAATGTTGTCGCAAGTAATGAAAAAATACGAAAAATTCTTAATGTTTTCAGAATGTTATGAAAAAATACGAAAAAATTTCCTCTGCTATTTATGATAATGTTTTCATTACTTTACCGTATTAATTGTTCGATTTATCGAACAATCTATTTAAGATAATGTTGCCGCAAGTAATGAAAAAAATTCTTAACATTGAATTCGGCAAAGTAGGAAACTTACACGGGATGATTTTGTAATGGTAGAAAATAGTAAAGGAGAATTTGGTAATTTCGCTATTTCAAGAAAGAAGTGTAGTAAACCGCAAACTTCTATTGCTAAAACAATGATGTGACGTTTTCAGGTAAAAGAGGAAGTCGATTCGGCATTACGAAACTACGCAATAAGTATGAAACGGTATTTCTTCATATCTCTTACTAAAAAATTACACAGGACACCGTTTTCACTTAAATTTCCTAATTATTTTTTCGGTAAAAAAAAAAATTAATTATAGGAATTGCGGGAAAGAAATACAACAAAACCCTCCTGAATCACGGAGTTTACAGTTACGATTTCTAAGCGCTATATGTCTTCCCGTATTCACCGGAACACGTATAGAAGGAGAAGGGTGCTCGAATATGGAAGTTGCTTTATTCGATAATCTAATCGGAGAAGTTATTTCCGATGGTATTGGATCCTCTGCGAAAGTTGAGATTGTAGTTCTTGAAGGAGATTTTAACGGCGACGAGAGAGAAAATTGGACTTTTGACGAGTTTAGAAATAATACGGTGAGAGAGAGACAAGGCAAGAAATCCCTTCTGAACGGGGACGTGATTGTAAATATTAAAGATGGCACTGGTTTTTTGGGCAATGTTATATTTACGGACAATTCGAGCTGGACAAGAAGCCGTAAATTCAGGCTAGGTGCTCGATTTATGGATAATATTGGTGATGTTAGAGTAAGAGAGGCAATTTCCGAACCCTTTGTTGTTAGAGATCATCGTGGAGAACGTAAGTCCGGTTTTTTTTTTTTTAATTGTGAATTTATTATAACTCTATAATTATAAAAATTAAATGTTATATTTACGTTTTTGTCACGTTTTATTTTAGTGTACAAGAAGCACCACCCTCCATCACTTTCCGATGAAGTATGGCGGCTAGAAAAAATCGGTAAAGATGGGGCTTTTCACAAACGTTTGAGGAACGAAAGAGTCAACACCGTGCAAGACTTTTTGATGTTGTTCTTCTTAGATCCCACAAGGCTTCGTAATGTAAGATTTCTTTGTTTCTTTTAAATATTTTTTAATAAAGAATTGTGCGATTATGTATTAGTTAAAAATATATTAACATTTTATTATCGAAAATTCCTACAGATTCTTGGAACAGGAATGTCTGGTAAAATGTGGGACATCACAGTCGAGCATGCTCGAACGTGTGTTCTTGACAAGAAATTATATTTATACGGTCCCTCTCAAAAAAATGCCGTTGTTTTTAATGTTGTTGGAGAATTAATGGGGATTTTCTCGAGTGGCAATTATTTTCCCGTGGATAACCTCTCCGAAGCAGAAAAGGCAAGCTTTATTTATTTTAACGAATTGCTTCGGTTCTTGATTCTTTTATTGGGCGCGAAAAAATAATCGAAAAGTAATTGCGCGTCGGGTTTATTTTTATTTTATTTTTGCAGGCTAATGCCTACGTGTCGATTATCTCTGCATTTCAAGATCGAAAAAAGATCGTCCCTTTTGAAGACGAGTCCTCCTTAATTACTCAATCTTCTTCAAATTTGCCGTCTGAGGATTTAACTTCTCAATCTTATTTGCAACAAAGTCCCTTTTCACCGAACTACATGCACTCGTCATTTTCCATCGGAGGATTCGATGATTGCTTGTCAGGTGGCGATCTCACGTGTGACGAGCCGCTGGTGTACAGTGGACCAGCTGCAGACAGTTTAATCTGCGACAATCTGAACGAGCATTTGGAGTATTTTGAGACGGATTTTCCGATACACGGTGCTGTAAATTCTTTTACAGCGTGTTCTTCGAATCCTACTATAGGTAAAGCTCAAAGGGGTTGGAATATTTTAGTGAGTGTATTAAGATGGTGGTTTACGATTAAGAGAATTAGGGCTCGAAAAAATACGGGTTAGTGCAATTCACTTCGTAAAGAAATCGAATGTCGCTGTCTGAATCGTGATCCCTATGCAGTTAAAATCGAAAGAAGATTTTGAAGTTTGTTTTATGTATGTATTCATAGTATATATATATATATATATATATATATATATATATATATATATATATACACTTCTGCTGAGGTGGATTTTTTTTTTGGCGGGGAATTTGTATATATTTTTAGTTTCTTAGAGGTGGTCTATTTTTCATATGACTGCCACTTTGTATAAATTGAACCTCTTGTAAGAGATTATCTCTTTATAAAAGAAGAAGAAATAAAGAATTGATTTTGACTTGAAATTTCTGAGTGCAAAATAAATAAATAAATTGTCTCATTAATTTTATATTTAGGGTAAATTACAGCTGCGCCGGAGCTAATGTCAAATTACCAATAACAAATTATGAAAAAACCACTCATGTTTGGATAATTACGACCACCCATCAACTATGACTCTTCTTATACGTCCACCCTTGTAGTGTTAAATTCAATATAATCTTATAGATTATGTGGAAAGTTTTCTAGTTTGAACTCGTTCGTGCAAAAATGCAGTTTATGATGCACTATAATCTGATATTTACAAGTCAAAAGATATATTTTATGCTCATCTTATTTTAAAATGTGGAACTTAAATAGAGTAAAACGAGTACAAACTGGAGAGTATTACACATAGTCTAGAAGATTCCACTAAATTTGAAATCGCAAGGGTGGACGTATAAGAAAATTCGTAGTTGAAGGGGTGGTTGTAATTACCCGAACAATAAAGTTTTTTTTTTCATAATTTGGCAATACTTCAGGGGGTGTCCGTAATTTATCCTAATTTTTGTGGTACCAAATACAATAATTAAATTTTATAAAACAAGTACATAAATACATTAAATAATAACCGTGGACGTGTGATCCAGAGGAAAACAGTTGCGTTGATGACCTTGGCTTCCGGTGACCTGAAAGAGAGAAAGCCGGACTGATGCCGGAGTTAGCACTCCGACGATCAAGTCAGTGATAGTGTGATTACTGTATTTCCTTAGGATTCAGGATTTTTTGTATATGTTAAAGTAAAAGAGAAACTCCCTTTTATATACCCTTCTACTCGGAACTCGAAGGCCCGGGAATTCCGCGCTAATTGCAGATGACAGTCGTCCTTCCTCGAGCAGCCCGGGCGGCCGGGGTCATGATGACTCCTCCAATAGGTCTGTTGACCTCATTCGGTGCTAGCCGTTGAGCCGCGCCTGGGCATTCCGCCATAAATGCCACTGTCAGAGCATTAAATGCGCCGTCCAGCATTTATGACCCCCCCGACCTGTGAAAGCTCCTCGGGAGGGAAACCAGGCCCTTCGTGGATCGGCCCTTACGCCAATGGGCTGGGTGACCCCTTGGGCCGTTTGTACTGGTAAGCCCACCCTTTAATGGGCCTTGATAGTTGGGCCCTTGGCCCTGGACCGGAGAAGGATAGTTCTGGTCCGGATCAACTAGTCCCCCACTCCGGGTTCTATCTCCGAGTTTAGGACCCGGAGTTCACTCGGTTTTATTTTCCCTAACTCGGGCGACGTTCAATCAGCCGCGTCTTTCAAGTTAGCCGCCTGGTCTTCTGCGCCTTTCACACACAATCCTAGGTCCCTACAGCCCACGCGGGGCTCCTCGCTTTCCGTGCGCCATTACTGCCGGCGGCTCTTCGACTTTATACCATGCTTTATCTTTGAGTAACGTCCTTTCTTTACCACTTCTAATCTTCACACATCTCCTTCACTCTCCCTCTTAATACCTTTCTTCCATTTATCGAGTGACTCCGTCAGGTACATCCTTATTCCCTTTCCTTTGTTTATACTGCGCTTGCCCTTCCTTTGATTGATTCAGCCATGGTTTCTCAAAATACCTCCACTTCCTCTTCTTCGGAGAGGACGGGTTCCGCCGTCCCTTCCCCGGTTCCTCGGCGCGGTCGCCGGCGACCGGTTCCCCGTAAAACTGTAGCCCCCTCCTCTTCTAGGGCAGGGAAAAAGAAAGTGGCGGAGAAACCTACCCATTCCTTGGTCGATAAATTCGATCTCGAGGCCCTTTATGTTACCCAAGGGATGGATCCCTCCTTCCACCTTGTTGTGCCCTCTCGCGACCAGACCCCTTCTAACCCCCCTCCGGGATACCTCACTTGGTACCTCGACCAATTTAAAGCCGGCCTATCATTCCCTTTACATCCCTTTTTTGTCGATGTTAGTCGCGTCTATAGAGTTCCTCTTCACTTATTTCATCCGAATGCCATAAAGTTTATGTCATGTTTTTATATTGTCTGTGTGGGTACCGGGGTTGACCCACGTCCCGAGCTTTTCTTTTCCCTATTCACCCACAACCGATCACCTTCAGGCTATTTCCATCTCTCGACCCGTATCGGCCGTCTTTTCGCTGGTCTGGTCACGAAGATCGACTCGTGGCAACGGCGTTTATTTTTTGCCCGTCCGCCATCTCCGTGGCCATTTGACCCCACTCCCCCTACTAAGTCCCCCAAGCGTGCTGTTTTGGATGTAAATTTCGACGAGGAGACAGCCCGTCTCCTCGCTCGTGTTCGTCCTCGCGCTTGGAATGTAGAGAAGGTCGTCAGCACCACTCCCCTTTTTTCCCGTGCCGGTCTATGGCGTACCCCCTCCTTCGATCGCCGACCTTGGGGTATATACCAATTTGCCCCCCTTCTTCATCTTTACTCGTGCAGTGTTCTCTTTCCTCTTTTTTGTTTTTTTTTTTTTTTTTCTTTTTTTTATTTATTTATTATTATTTTTTTTTTTTTTTTATTTTTTGAAATCTTACTAACATTTCTGTTTCGTCAGCCGAGATGATGCTTGATATGCTGATGGAGATGGCGGAGGCCGAAAAGAAAAATACCGAAGGTCCGTCAACACAGCTTCAGGAGGCCGGTACTTCTGTTGTTCCCGAGGCATCCTCCCGTGGAGTTGAACTTCCATCGCATAGTTCCAATTCTCCCTCTCGTGCCGCACCGCCTTCTTCCAACTTGCAGTTGGCTATCCCTGATGTCGTGATTGACCTCTTGGATAGTGAGGCCGAGGGACGCGACCCGGTGGCTTCTCTAGGCGGAGACCCAGGGTTTGAGGAGGCTCAAGGGGAGTCGGCGGGGGCTAGCTCGAAACGACCCCTGCCTAGTGACTCCACCCCACCGCCTAAGAGAGCCCGTCTCGACTTGCCTTCCCTCTTTTCCGCCGATGACTCCGAGGGGTCCGTGGACTTCGCTCTCCGTCAACTGGCTAGGGTTCAGGCCGCCGGGGATTCATCCTACCTGAATAACCTACCCCACTCAACCCGCCGTGCGAAGCTGGCCCTTTGTTTGGCACAGGTATGTGTTTACTTTCCCCTTCGCTATCCGTGTTATCTTGTTAAAGATATGATTATTATTTTTTAATAATTTTTTTTTTATCTTTTTAGGCGAGCTCTATCGTGGCCTCGGGTTTCGGTGAGGATGACCCTTCGGTTCATGATCAGGCAGTTCGTGAGCTATCCTCGCAGGCCGCCAATGCTCGTACCGCTCTCGAACGAGCGTCCTCCCGGATATATGCCTTGATGGCTGAGAACGGGTCACTGTCCAGGCAGTGCGAGCTTGCCGAGGAGAAGCTTCAGGACGTCCAATCGAAGCTGTGCGAGACGAAGAGTGCCCTGGAGGGGCAGATTGCGCGGGCGAATGAGGAGAGGGACTCGGCCGTTCGGCAGCTGGAGGCGAAGGAGCAAGATTTCCAAGAGGAACTCTTACGCCGCCTTACTGCTGAGCGAGAGAAGTCCCTAGGAGAGCTTCTGGCTACTGCAGAGGGTTTGGCAGTTCTTGATCAATACCGGGTCAAACTATTCCAGAGGTATCCGCACACAAAGCTCTTCCTGAAGGATGCATGTCCTATCGGCATGTACTATGTGAAGCAGACCATTGCCGCGTGTGAAGCCTTGGCCTCCGAGCAGCAGGCGATCGTTCGCTACGAGCCTACGGTTGTCCTTGGCAAGATTAGCAGGACGCTTCCTTTATGGAAGGGCGATCCTCGTGAGCCGATCGACTATGCCTGGTGGCAGTCTATTACGGACGAGCTGATCTCGTCCCTTGGTTCGTCTTCTGCTTCCCGGCTTCCGGAGCCATTGACCACCGGTCCGGCTGGTGTGGCGTCGTCGGCAATTGCCGGTCCTCATCCGGCTCTTCCTCTGCCGCCTATCCCCGCAGTCAATCCTGTTTCCGCCTCCTCTGCTCCTCTGTCCACTCCTTCCGTTGCCGCTGCAGTTGTTCACCGTTCTTCATCTTCTTAATTTTAAACTTTAAGAAAATTTCCTTTGTTATTTCCTTTCCAATTACTACTTATCGTATTTTTGAACTATCTTTGATTTTTCCCGTATTGCCCCTTTTTGTTGTGCATGACTTGTTGGGTGCTAAATACCAACACGCAAGTGTACGTATCGCAAACAAGTAGTAAAGTAGACTCGTGAGAGTCGGATGTCGATCCCACAGGGAATACGCAAATTATTTAATCCTAAGTACCAAATCCTAACAATTGTGATTTTTATCCAGCCTACGCAGGGTTGTCAAATTAATTAACTAAATAAATTAAACTAATTGAGAAAGCAAGTAATCACGAGAAAATATCAATAATAAACGGATCTAGGATTTTATCTTCCCCCTATGCGATAATTCTTCACCCGATTAATCTCCTATCATGCAAGTTACGATTCCCGATTATTAACCCAAGACACGAAATTATTCATAACCAGCTGTCGCTGCGCTATAAACCTATTATTCATAAAAGATTCACTATATGTCTATGCAAACCTAGTATAAATAAAGCATTAAATAACAAGTCTCGTACACGGCTACCTAAGGTATTATCTGTATGTCTACGATAATACATGCAATCAACACACGCATTCGGTGAAAAACTACTCGAAGGCTCTTCTATCCCTGTTCTAATTATTAAAACGATCTGTCAATCAATTCTAACAATAACAAATAGCAACATAAGTTAGCTACGCTCATGCACTAAATAAGATCAAGATAGAAGAAATAATCGAAGAATTAAACTTGCATAAAAGTAGAAAAATAG